TGTCAAATGGAGAGACGAATCGAGGGTTAGAAGAGATGCCACAACTCCTGGCCCTCAATGGTATCAAATCGCAGGTCACCGAAGAACTCAGCTATAATAATACATACAAAACACTAGATATGACCCAAACTGACTCTATTATGCAACCAGAGAAAGGTAGCAAAAGTAGTGGCAAATCAATCAGAAAATCCAATTTTAGGTAAATATAAAGTTTAAATGAATCACAAAATAATTTACGATTTGCTAATCGTTTAATTGAATTGAAAGTGTGAGACAAACGCAAACCATTAAGAAGAGTAAATTGGTTCGGATTAAGTCGTCGGGAAAGGGAGGAAAAGTAGTCATGTTGTCCTATTGTCGACAAGAGGCGTCTCAACACGCGTTGGATTTAAAGGACCATTTGTTGGAATTGGGATTCAGTGTATATCTGGTATGGATTATGCTTTTTAAATACTCACAAATTACTTTTTCTGTTAATTAACGAATGAATGTAATAAATAGGATGTGCATGAGATTCAAACGGGTACTGATTGGGCCGACTCTCTAAACGATGCGGTCAGAGGCTGTGAAGTGTTTGTGCCGCTCATAACACCCATGTATGGCAGGACTCAATGGACTAATCGTAATAGGATGTGCATGAGATTCAAACGGGTACTGATTGGGCCGACTCTCTAAACGATGCGGTCAGAGGCTGTGAAGTGTTTGTGCCGCTCATAACACCCATGTATGGCAGGACTCAATGGACTAATCGAGAGGTTCGACAAAACTTGTATTAATATATGTTTACTAATTTCTGTTTAATTGAAACATAGATTAAATTGGCCGATATTTTGTCCAAATTTATAATTCCAATCAATTTTCTTGGTATTTATTTTACTTTTCAATAATAATATATTCTTATATTGTATGCAAAACTAAACCACAATATCATATGAACACTACCAGACACGTGGCCACCCGATTGTTTGGCCATACAATTTGCGACCACACAATACATTCCATCGCGACCTCTGGATGGGGGAAATGGTTTGTGTTTCTTGATGTTAACTATTAATTGTTTATTAATTAATGAAGTGCTTAAACAGATAGTACAACAGAGAAGTCAATAGACATTAAGATATGGCACGAAAAGCATTTGAAGAAAGTGTCAGAACTAATATCGGATCAAATTAAGAAAAAGAAAATTTTGCCAAATTTTGAACAAAACAAAGCACTTCCAGCGCCGCCCGAAACGGACGGACCCAAAGACTCGGACACCGATAAGCCATTAATAGTAATCGTTGCACATCCGCAACAAAAGGCTACCGTTTCGCAGATTAGGTCATTGTTTTGCGATGAGTTCAACATCTGGTGCTCAATAGATCTGCCCGAAGGAAGCGCTACCGATGAGGACTTGGCCAACAATTCTCCGCCTTTCACTCCAAACCATTTGGCGACCATCGATGAGGCCTCGGAAACGCAAGTGTTCAGCGATGACTACAAAGACATCGCCCGTAATATAATTATCGGAATGAAACAAAACAGTAAACCCCGACCGAAGTCTTTGCCATCCAATGCGGACTTCACTATTGAACCAAAGAGACCATTAAGTCGAGTGACTTCAACAACGAGTGAGACGAGTCACTTGTCTTCGCTTACGCCCGAAAAGGTGGACAGAATTCAAGTAATTAAGGAACAAATCAATTCGGCCGGAGTTGTCATTATTGTCTGTTCCGAGTCCTATTATAAGTCGAGAACATCGAAACAATTGGTCTTCTATTGCGAACAGCGGAAGAAAATCATTTTAGTTCGCTGTGATGTCAACTCTACTTCTGTTCCCCAATGGTTCTCAAACCTGTTGAAAGAGAACAGAACTCTTGTTAGTTCTCATTATGAGATTGACATTAGTTATTAAATACTAAATTTATTGCATTTATGTTTAGCACATAAATAATCCACGTTTTGACGAATTACTTAAATCGCGAGTCAAGCGAACTCTCGACCCCTTAACCAAAGCACCGGAAGACGATTTTGAACAGAAAATTCAATATTTGGTTGGATTCATGAAGAAGAATCTGCCGGTACTCGAGACGTGTGTTTATGTTGTTGGCAGGTATAGTGTGGCATATTTAACAATTTAGCTTCATATTTAATGCATTTTAATTAAAATGTGTATTTCCTAATTCAGTATAAAACTTCAAAACCCTCGCTCTGAAGAGATATGTCAGGCATTGGGCGTAGAGTTGGCTAAAGTGAAAAACGTGAACGTGGTCACCAGTGGCTTTTACGGGGCCGGAGATATAGTGGCCAAGTCTTTCTACGAGAGTCGGCAAACTGTTTGTACGATTCAATCCAATTGCAAATCCAATGAAAATACGCCCAACTCTTTTGAGTCCTCTGTTGTACATATTGTTCCCGAATGCGATTCAGAAGTAATATTTTAATGCATTTTGAGTCAAATATTCTGTATATTTAATACATTTATTTTAATTAAAGGATTTTAGCAGTAAATGCCGACAGAATTGTGATGGTACATTTGAGTCAGTACCGTATGGGAAGACAATGTTCCTTGGTCAATCTGTCAAAGAAAGGGAGAGCTGTGTCGCCAGACTTTTGGATACATGTATGCCATTTAAAGAACCAAATTTACAAATTTTGTTTCTAATTATAATTTTCATTAAATTACAGGTATATTAATAGAAGGCGGACCCGGTTTGTAGACATTATATTGTGGTTTGTATTTTAAATTGAATTAATAATTGATTATATTATAGGCGCCGCACATGAGGCCGAAGAATTCATATGGAATGATCATTTTGTAATACCCATTATCTCATCGGGCGGTGCGGCCGGCGGTCAATATAACGTTCCGACGAAGATATTTGACTGCCCTAATGGAGTGGCAGAACAGGACTGGGCTTTACTGTCATCGCCCGACGCGACGCCTATAGATGTGGCCAAAGCTGTGGTCAGAATAGTTGTCGGCTTAAAAGAGACGATTGTTTCCATAGCCTTAAGCAAACATACGGTTATTCTAAAGGCAAAGAATAAATTCACGAGAACTCGTTCGGGAAAGAAAAAGTTGGCCGATAGGCGCAAAATGAACATCAGTGCCATTAATGCCTCCAATTCTGTTATACCGGCGGCGGTGGACAACGACCCCAACTCTCCCGAAAAGGTGTTGCCCGTCATCAACACCATTATGAATGAAAACGAGTCAATGAATACAAGCAAACCGAGTAAATGGCAAATCGGGAAACGAATGCAGAATTTAATGACATTCTCGCGTAAAAAGTGTTAAATTTTGAATACTTTTTTTTTATTAATAATTGTTATTTTTATAAAACAAATAAAAGGCACTTTAATACTAATGAATCATTTTTAAATTAAAAACTATATTTATTCTAAATGCTGTTAATATTCTAAAAACTTAATAAATAATACAGATTCAAGTCATTAGTTTTCCAAAAAAATGTCACATATTTTTATAGATCAAAGTCATGACTAGGAGTAAAAAAATCAGAGTATTTAGAGATTGAGAATAAAAAAATCATTTAACAATAATTTATAATCGATTCAATCGTCAGTTCGCTGGGAATGTATCGACGAATAAATAAATATTTGTATGTAAATAGCTTTCACTCAACCAGTGTTTCACTCAATCTTAATACGTTTGCTGTATTCGTGTTGTTGCTGTTCCTTCCACTCGGCCTTCACTTGCATTCTCTTGAGCTGTCCGTCCCATTCCAGGTCCACAAGTCCTCCCCGTTTGGCGATCTCGGCCTTCACTCGTTTCGCAAAATCTACAGCACTTTCGTTCTCCTAATTCAATACACATTCATTAATGGATGCAAACAAATGCGTTAATAAACTTACATTCTTGACCATTGGTGGCAAATAATAGACGTGACAAACGATGGCCCAACTGGTCATCATCATCAACAGGTAATACATGTAACCGTTTTTGCTGCTATTCCAGAACGGGTCACCAAATCTCGGGTCATACTATTCAATACAATCAACGCATAGATTAGTCAAATGAACAAAACTTGCAAATAATTAATAAAATGAATACTTTGATGGCGACGGGATATATACGACCTCCGACTTCAAAGGAGCCCTTCTTGAACATCATAACGGCTGAGTTGTTAATACACGTGCCCTCAGGGAAGATGAGAA